GCGCCTCCAAGGAGGACGTATCGAACTCATGCGTGTCCTTGTGCGTCCCAAGGCGGCCTCGGGCCCCGGCCGCAGGCGTGCGCCAAATCGCGGGCGTCGGCTGCGCGAGGCACGCGTCCGACGCAGGCCGCGTGGCCGCGCCTCCGCGCGGCGGCGAGGCGGCGCGGCCTCGTCCGGCGGCGGGCAGCCCCGTACCGGTCGGGCGCATCTCGTGTCCCGCGGCCGCCGTCGCTTGCCGGGAGGCGTCCGCCAGGGGCAGCGCGGGAGCGCAGGAGAGAGCCGGGCCAGTGCTGAATTGGCAGGCCTCCCGCGCACGGAGCCCGGGGCCACAGAGGGCGGCGGAGAGGGACGAGGGGGAAGGGGGAGGAGGGGGGGGGAGGCGGAGGAGGGGGAAGGGGGAGGAGGGGGGGGGGAGGCGGAGGAGGGGGGGGAGGAGGAGGAGGAAGGAGAGGAGGGGGGAGGCGGAGGAGGAGGGGGAGGAGGGAGGAGGGGGGGCGGAGGCGGAGGAGGAAGGAGAGGAGGGGGGAGGGAGGAGATGGGCGGGGCACGGAGCAGGTGGAGAATAATAATAATAATAAGAAGAAGAAGAAGAAGAAGAAGAAAAAGAAGAAGATGACAGGGGACGAGTGGGTGGATGAAGTCTTCGCTTGATGCCGTTGTAGAGCAGGAGGGCGAACCAGGAGCAGAAGGATGAGGAAATATGATGAGACGGGGCAGCAGTAGTAGGGCCAGGCGCAGCAACAAGAGCAGGACGCGGATACGGACGGATTCTCCGTCCATGGTCCTCCATCGACGGACGCCGTCGACGACGACCACGACCACATCCACAACCACGATGTGAACGACCACGACCTTGACAACGACGACCACGACCAAGACGATGACGACGCGAGTTCATTCTTCGAGGTCGTGGCCACAGGTCGGGCTGCCGATGCATGGATCGTCAGGTGAGGATCGGGGCCTGTCCAGATGTGGATCGGAACTCGCGGCGACGGCTTGGGTAAGCGGGGAAGAAGGAGGAGGCAAGGAAGAATAAGGAGGAGGAGGAAGAGAAGGAGGAGGAGGAGGATGACGAGGACGAGGAGGAGGACGAGGACGAGGACGAGGAGGAGGAGGAAGAGGAGGAGGAGGAGGAGGAGGAGGAGGAGAAGAAGGAGAGGGGGGGCGAAGGAGGCAGGAGGAGAAGTAGGTGGAGTAGGAGCAGGTGAGGGAGTGGGAGGATACGGTGAGGGAGTAGGAGGATAAGGAGATGTGGGAGGAGGAGGAGGAGGAGGAGGAGGAGGAAGAGGAGGAGGAGGGATAAAGAGAAGCTGGTGAAGGAGGACGGGCTCCGCCGGCCGTGCAGCCCCCCTTGAAGTGGCCCGAGGTCCGAGGCCGCCGTGGACGGCGCCGCCCTCCACGTGATGGTCCTGGCCGCGCACGCGCGCCTGCGCCTGCCGCGGCCGCGGAGTGTCGCCGACGCGGCCCTGGCCGCGCTGGAGCGCGGCCCCGCCGCCGCACCGCGCGGCGCCGAGGCCCACGCGGCGCGCGGCGACGGCGGCGGCAACGACGACGACGACGACGACGGCGACGGCGGCGACGGCGGCACGACGACGAGGACGACGAAAACGATGATGCCGGCGGCGACGGCGACGACGGCGACGACGACGGCAACGACGACGGCGGCGACGGCGGCGACGACGGCGACGGCGACGACGACGACGGCAGCGACGGCGGCGACGACGACGGACAGGTGCGGCGACGATGACGTCGTCGACAGTGACGACGACGGCGGCGGCGGCGACCACGCTGCCGGCGGCCACGATCTCGACGACGACGTCGACGGCAGCGGCGGTGGCGGCGACGACCACGGCGACGCCGACGACGATGGCGGCCCCAGACATTCGACCTGGTGTGTTTGTGGCAACGTGTCTTTTCAGAGGTTCTAACAACGTTCCCAGGACCAGCTTGTCATCATGAGTGGCGTTTGACGGTCCTGGGGACCGCCAAGGGCCGCCATCCGTCGTTACTTTTCCACCACGCGAGGATGTCAGCGCCCAGGGTTCAGAAGTCGACCGCTGGGCCTGTTCTGGGGTGCATCCTGACCAGAATCTGACTCTCGAGACGGATCCAGTCGTGGCGACGAGAAGCCCCCCAAAGGAAATGGGAAAATCGCTCCAAAACGCTCGAACCTTTGAACGTCGAAGGATGTCAGGGTCGACGTCGCGGACGACGACGACGACATGGGTGGCGACGAACACGAACACGTAAACAACGATGACGACGACGGCGTCGACGGCGGCGGCGGCGATGTCGACGGCGACAACGTCGACGGCGGCGACAATGACGACGGCGGCGGCGGCATCGACGGCGACGACGTCGTCGTTGACGCCGAGGCCGCTCGCGCCCGTCGCGCGCTGCTGTGCGCGCTGGCCGCCGAGGCCATCTGGGCCGTGCCGGGCGCGCCGGCCACCGCGCTCGCGCGGCGCGCCGCCGAGGCGCTGGCCGCCGCGGGGCGTGTGGCCCGGGACCCGGCCGAGCTGGCCATCGTCGCCACGGCGCGCGGCTGCGAGTAAAACGCAGACGTTCTGTTAGATCTTGGTGTGTGTGTGTGTATGCGTGTGTGTGTGTGCGTGCGTGCGTGCGTGCGTGCGTGCGTGCGTGCGTGCGTGCGTGCGTGCGTGCGTGCGTGCGTGCGTGCGTGCGTGCGTGCATGTGTGCGTGTGCGTGCGTGCGTGCGTGTGTGTGTGTGTGTGTGTTTTGTGTTTGTGTGTGCTTCTGCGTGCGTGCGTATGCGTGTGCGTGTGCGTGTGCGTGTGCGTGTGCGTGTGCGTGTGCGTGTGCGTGTGCGTGTGCGTGTGCGTGTGCGTGTGCGTGTGCGTGCGCGTGCGCGTGCGCGTGCGCGTGCGCGCGCGCGTGCGTGTGTGTCTCTGTGTGTGTGTGTGCGTGCGTGCGTGCGTGCGTGCGTGCGTGCGTGCGTGCGTGCGTGTGTGTGTGTGTGTGTTGCCATGCCGGCTTCCCCCCCCAGCCGCCGCCTGCTACTGGCCCCCGCCCCCGGCGCCTCCCCGCCGCCGCCCAGCCTTGCTCTGAGCGGGCCCGGCTTCCGTCTCCCCCGTGCAGCGCGGCTTAATTCGCGTTCGTATGCCCTACCAATTCTCTTCCGCCAGCCGCAATCGCAGTCACCCAGCCGCCGACGCATAAAAGGGTGTTTTGATTCGGGGAAGCCCGCAGCATTTGTTACGGGGGGTTGTGCCCCCCCCCTCCTCACCCCGCCCTCCCCGCCACGGTACCGATCATGCGCAGGTCGGGGCCAGGGTCCTGGGGCTCCAGCCGTGGAGGTTTCCTCGGGCTGCGCTTTTTCGCCCACGACCGGCCCCCCGGGCCATCAAGAACGGATCTGGGGCGGCCCCCGGGGAAGCGGTCGGGACCTCTATAGGGCCGAACTGTCCGTCGGTGCCACGGCGCGCGGCTGTGGTGCGGACACCATGACATCATCCTCGCGAGGTTTAGCATTTTTTGGGGTAGCGTTTCTCTCTCGGAAACACGGAAGCTTCCCACAGGTGTTTCATCCCGGGCTGTTTTGGAATGGTCCCGGGGCCCGCCGAGGGCCCCCCGAGGCCGATGAACCCAGCGCGACCCCAATGAAGGGAAAATGTCCTATTGCATAGGCGCGGTGCTCGGCATTGTTTGGCAGTGCTTGGCATTGCTTCGCATTGGTTCGCATTGCTTCGCGTTGCTTCGCATTGCTTCGCATTTCTTGGCGTTGCTTCGCATTGCTTGGCATTTCGTGGCAGTGTTTTGCATTGCTTGGCGTTGCTTGTCATTGCTTGGGGGACCTGGGGAACCCGAGTAACCCGAGGGACCTGGGGAACCCGAGGAACCCGGGGAGCCGAGGCACCCGAGGAACCCGAGGAACCCGAGGATTCCAGGGATCCCGGGGAATCCAGGGAGCCCGATGCACCCGAGGAACCCGAGGAACCTGGGGATCCCGGGGAACCCGAGGAACCCGAGGAACCTGGGGAACCCGAGGGGACCAGGGAATCGGAAGAACCCGAGGAACCCGAGGGACCAGGGGAACCCGAGGACCCCGGGGAACTTCCGAGGCACCAGCCTTCCGCCTAGGCAAGCCAAATGGGGAAACATCTGTATACAACCTTTCGTCATATCCAGCTGCCTGTGGCAAACCCGCCACCTTGCTTGAGCGACAGCGCAGCAGGAAGGATAGCGAGTGTAGGAATAGCACAATTCCGACGACTGGTCTGAATTGGGAAGGGCGTGGCCTCGCCCTCGTCTTCGTCCTCGCGGTATGGAGACGACAGGGAGGAGGAGCAGGAGGAGGAGCAGGAGGAGGAGGAGGAGGAGGAGGAGGAGGAGGAGCAGGAGCAGGGGCAGGAGCAGAGCAGGAGCAAGAGCAGGAGGAGGAGGAAAGAAGGCGCTGGAAAACATTGAGGCCGTCTTGAGAGCCTGTCCAGCCGTCTTGGGCCGTCTTGAGCCGTTTTGGTGTCGTTGTCGTCTTGGCTGCCTTGGAAGCCGTCTTAGCTGCTAGATGGACAGTCTGGAGGCTGAAAACAGCGCCAGGGAGCGATTTTAGCGGGGTGGTCTACGCGTGCGCGTGCAAACCGGGGGGGAAGGGGGCGCCATAGAATACATTTACAAACCCACCTCGAGGGACCACAGGAGCATTCTGACACGCCCACTCCGTGCAGGCACGGTGGCGGATTGTCTTCACGACGCGATGCTGTCAGGGTCCAGAAATCAAACATCGCCCCCCAGGCCGGTCGCGGATTTTCTTTCGACGCGATAATGTCAGGGTCCAGAAGTCAAAAATCGACCCCCGGGCCTGTTCAGGGGTCCGTTCTTACCAAGATATCGAGGCGGATCCAGCCGTGGCGACAAGAAGCACCCCGAAGGCACAGGACATACGACAAGAATTCGCACGCGCACGACGACGCTGTCGTCGGCTCCGAAAGTTTTTGTCCACGACGCGAGTGGGTTTGGGCTCCTTGCTTGTGGCCGCCGAGGCGTCTGGGCAACTGGGAGCGGGCAGCGGGGCCGCGGAACGCTTGGCGCCCGCGGTGCTCCGCGAGCTCTGCGCATGGGGCGCGGGGCGGCGCCGCGAGTGGCCGCCGCTGCGCGCCGCCACGGCGCTGCGCGGGCTCTCCGCGGCGCTGCCGGCGTGCGGCGCGGAGGAGCTCGCAGAAAGCAAGGGCACGGGTGCTGCTGCCCTGGCCCCGCTCTCGCCTTTGTGGGCCTCCCGGGAGGCCCTCGCCGCCACGGCTGGATTCGCTTGTAGGTCCTGGCCGCAACACGCCCCAGGAAAGGTCTGTGGAGGTTGGCGGTCTCGCTATTGGTTTGGCCTTCCCAGGAGCGGGCGGCGGCCGCGCAGCTGCTGGACTGGCTGGTGAGCCAGGCCAACGAGCTCGGGCTGGGCGCGCTGGTGGCCCTGATGCGCCTGTGCGCGCTGGGGGGCGCCGAGGGCGACGGCGAGACGCTGGCGCCGAGGGCGGCGAGGCGAGGCGGAGGGCCAGGGCGAGGACGAGGCGCAGGCGCCGAGGTCGCCGAGGGCGAGGTGGGCGCAGGCGTGGCCGAGGGCGCCGCGCAGGAGGCGCAGGCGCCATCGCCCGGCGCGCACCGTCGGGCGATGGCGCTGCGGCTGGAGCTGTACCGGCGCGCGAACGACGTGCCCCTGGCCGCCCTGCCCGGGGCGATGGCCGCCCTGCACCAGCTGGTGCAGGACGGGGAGGAGATGGCCCCCGTGCTCCGCCGCTGCACCGGCCGCCTCGCCGCCGAGCTCGGCGCCCTGATGCAGGCGGCCGGGGATGGCGCGCCACCGCGGCCCGCGGCGGCGCGCGCGCGCCTGTTCGGGGCGGACGCGCTGGGCGAGGTGCTCTACGTCTGCGCCGCCTGCTCGTACAAGGACGACGAGTTCCTGGAGCTCTGCCGCGCCTGGCTGCTCGGCCCGGACGCTGCTGGGGCCGCCGATCCGGGCGTCCTGGGCGCCGCCGAGCGCGACGTGTCGCTGGTGCACATCGTCCACTCGCTCGCGGTGCTGGAGGCCGTGGACGGGGACCTGCTGAGGGCCCTCGTTGCCGCCATCCGAAGAGGAGAAAATAGCAGAGCCAGAGCTGTCGGAGCTCCGCGCAGATCTCTCGGAGCGGCGCCGGACCCCCCCCCCCTCCCTGGTGTGCGGAGCGCGCCAGGGGCGGTGCGGGAGGCGCCGCCTGGGGCCCGGGGGGAAGCACAGATCAAGGACATCCGCGCTGGCCTCCGAAAGCTCATGCTCATGCCGTGTTCTGTTCCTCTGGCCATCGAGCCCCGCCTGGGCGGCTTCTCCTTCTTCGAGGCTCTCGGCTTCCTGGACGCGGCCGCGGCCCTCCAGTCGCAGGCGGCCGCGGGGGAAGGCGATGCCCTGCCCCCTTCTGGCGTCGGGGAGCGCGCGCTGGGCCTGGCCGTCGGCCGCGTCGTGGAGCTCCTGCCGGCGCTCGACCGCGGCGACCTGTCGGTCTCTGGCGGTTCAAAGATGGAGCCCTGAGCGGTGGGGCTATACTTACAGTCAACCCGCATAGTAAGGACGGGCTTCCCAAGGGTACCTCGGGGGTGGACAGACCTCCTACCCCGACGCGTCTATTAAGGAATTGGTCGTTTTCGGTTCGCGAGAGGGCGTCGCGGCCGTCATTTTTGTGGGTCCAGGTCCGTCGGTTTCGGTCCCAGGCCGGTTCACTAAAGGGAGGTTTACTAAAGGGAGGTTTGTCCACCGCCGAGTAGCTGGCCGCGCCTCGTTCGCAAAGCGTCGGCATGGCCTTCCGAGGCCCTTGCATCCTTGCCGCTCATCCTTATGATATGGGTTGGCTGTACGGATAGGAGGGGGCCCAGGACTGGATCTACACTGTCTGAGGCACCTCGTCCTGGGGCCCCCCAGCCCTCAGGACCCCGTCTTGGGACCGCCGAGGTGTGCGCGCGGCTCCTCGCAGGCATGCACGTCCCTGCCTCCGCTGGGGCCGGGCGCATCCTCGAGGCGGCCGAGGCGCTGGGCTGAAGGCTTCGGTTGCCAGGCCTGAGGGCCCGGGCGCGGCCGCGGCAGGAAAGGGCCGTGTGCTCCCCAGGCAGCTCCACGACCGCGCCCCCCCTGCGCGCGCGATCCTCCGGGCTCAGGTCCACGACAGGGGGGTGGGAGGGGCGGGGGGTGGGGGGCTGGGAGGGCTGGGGGGTGGCAGGCTGGGCTTGCGCACGAGCGCGCGCACCTGTGCCTGCAAGGCCTCGGCGTCCATCTCTGTAAGTCCTGCGAGCCTTGCCGACTGCGCGCCAGCGTCTCCCTGTCCATGTGTATATGCTTGTGTGTATGTGCGTGTGCGTGTTTGGCTTGTCTCTATGTTTGATATGTTGTTTGGTACATGTATGTATCTATCGTCATGCATATTATTAATTTGTTATCTCTCTCTCTCTCCATCCATCTCTCTCTGTATGTTTCTCGCTCCCTCCATGTCTCTCTCTCTCTCTGTCTCTCATTCTCTCTCACTCTCTCTCTCTCTGCCTCCTTTCTATCTCGTTATCTCTCTTTCTCTCGCTCTCTCGTTTTTTTCTCTATCTCTCCTTCTCAACCACGGCCGCGGAGGCTCCCAAAAAGCGACCCTCATCCCCAGATGGAGGCCAGAAAAGGGGTGTCTTCCCGCGAGGCCGTCGCCGTCGACGACGCAGAGCTCCAGCGCCTGTTCTCCGCGCTCCGCACGCGCGCGCATGGCGCGTGGCGCGTCTTCGGTACTCTCGCACGGCTTGCTCGAGCGCCCTCCCAGCGCCCGTGCCCGCTTGCAGCAGACAGCTCCGAGGTGGGAGGACAAGGAGGAGGCCAACAAGGACGAGCAGAAGCCCAAGGGAACATGGGCCGAGGAGGACTGGGAGAAGTGGGACAAGTGGGACGACGACGCGGGGACCTTAGCCGCACCCGCCGCGAGCGACCGACGACGGCGACGACGGCAGCGACGATCACGGCGGCGGCGGCGGCGACGGCGCTGGCAGCGTCGTGGATGCCAGTGGCGGCGTCGCGTCGGGCCACCGCGGGGGCCCATTGGCGCCGGACGCTGCGTGACAAGCCGGTCAGGATGCCGCCCAGGATCGGGCAGGTGGTGATGGGGGGGGGGACCCGATTGGGGGATGGCGAAAAGGGCCTTTTCGGGCCCCTTACAGAGCCAGCAGCGGCCCAATGGATGCCCTACAGGGCCCCTTGAGGGCCCTTTTCTTCACCCTCCATCTACAGTGCCGTTTTTAATTCATGCTCCGCGTGCGGATCATGTATTAAAAATGCAGGGATTTAGTATTAAGAACAACGATGAGTTCATGCATACATTTATTCATCAATTTATCATGTATTTTGAATCCTATATTTTGTTTTAAGAAACCTATGTATTAGAAACTGCCCTGTAGGTCCACCCCCGTTACCACCCGCCCGAGAGGAGGGACGGGGGGGAGGATCCGGAGCAGCACCGGGCCGACCCAGGCCACCAGGCCGCGCGAAGAAATCACGGCGGCTGGCGTTTCAGCTTTTGGGACCCTCGTGGGCTCGTTTCGGGTCCTGGACATGTGAAGAGGGATTTCGTTGCGAGGCTGTTACCCGAGGGATGGAGTCGAGCTGTCGGCGGGGGGGGCACCTAGTGAGCTAACAAGTCTGGGTCGTTCCTCCCTCCTCCTTCGTCCTCCTTCCTCGTCGTCCTCCTCCCCCTCCTCCTCTTCCTCTTTCCCCTGGTCCCTCCATCATTGTCCTCCTCTTTCTCCTCCTCCTCTTCCTCCTCCTCCTCCTGGGGAATGTGCTGCCGAATACGCAGGTCTCCAGTTAAAGCCCAAGATCTGCCTCGCCATCCGCCTCCGGTCCACGTGCAATGCCGAAGTCGTCTCGAGAGTGCGAGAGGGTTTGCGCAGGGCGGCTCAGGATCGGGGGGACTTCAGAGTGCGAGGCTCGGGGACCCATCCTGGTGCTGAGGCGGGGCCAGAGTAATGGAGGACGATCAACGGAGAGGAAGCATGTTGCCAAATAATTTCCAGATGTCTAAAACATGCGTTAAACATGTTTCAAACGTGGAAAGCAATTAAACCATGTGTAGAACATTTTCCCGACAGCTTAAACACATGTTTAAATTCAATGATTGGACTGTTAGGGTGTCCATTGTCGTGGCATCCACAATGCCAGAGGCAACGATGGCTAGGAATCTCCGAGCGCCCCTTGCCAAGTGGCGGGCTCGAGCGGCAGAGTGCGCGGCGACAGGTGTCGGCGCCAGTTTCTCGGCTTTCCTGCATTGCACTCCTGCCCTCTTCCTCTCTTACTTGTGGCAGTTCTTCCCCCCATCGTGGGACGGGACCCTCACCGAGCTCAATGTCCTCACCAGACTTCTTCGCCTCCCTGGCTCACCATGGCGGCAGCAGGACTGGACTGCCCTCCAGCTGTGGGGCGGGCCCCGCAAACAAAGCTCCTTTGCCCTCTCCCTCGCCACCCTCCTCCGCTCCGCTCTGAAAACCTTCCCTGGGTGGCGAACGCTCTCAGCCCGGTTTGTCTTGTACGCCGACCGTGAGCTCCCAGAGGCGCGCGTGTTCTGGACGGGTGGATGGACGTCCCCTGAGTTCTGGTGCTCGCCCCCAACTGTGCGCTCATACGAGACCGCTCTCGCGGGATTCCCTGCCAAGAGGCACAAAGCCAGAAGCGTCGCCCTGGTCGAGCACAGCACGCGGCAGGCAATGAAGGACACTCCCAGGGTCCGTCTTCAATCCCACCTCTGCCGCTCCCTCGCCTGCTCGCCCTTCTCCGAAGACTCCGCCTCGCTCCTCTCCACCCCCTCCCGAGAACGGTGCGCCTCGCCTGGGGATCTGCCGCCCGATGTTGTCTCCCCGGGAGAGGCCCTCAGAGCTCAGTTCTTCAAGGTCCCCGTCGCGTGGGCTTTCGCATGTCTCAGGGCTAAACCTAAACGGTGTTTTTGGCGATTGCGTGGGCCGTTTTCTTTCCGATCTCGTTCTGCGGTAGAGGCGCATCGAAGACCAACGCGAGGGAAAACAACAACAACAAAGCGAAAACGAAAAACACCGTTTAGGTTCAGCCCTGGCATGTCTCCGAACTGGACCACCGAACGCCGGCTTCAGCAAGAATCGCACACGTGCGTCTTCGGGTGCAGCGCATGGGATGATTTACGACATTACCACACACGCGCACACTTTAACACGTGCTGGTCTTTGACAATGGGGTGACCCCTTCCAGAGCGCACAGCTACCAAATTCGCCCTGACCTCTCCCCCACGGGCATCAGGAGAGTGGTCGCAGCTTTTCACATCGACAGGAATGCGCGCGTTGGCCTCCGGCTCCCGCCCACCCCAACCCGCCTTTGGGAAATCTCGGGCCGCCGCCGAACCCCCCCCCCTGGGAACGCCTCCAGGAGGCTCGGTTTGCGAGCTCGGCTTTAAACGTCTGTGTGTTTCTCGCCTTCTCTTCCGGCAACATGTCAGATCATGCCCCGAAGTTCCTTTTACAATTTTAACAGCGCATGGTACGATGTAGTTTTTGGCTTGAGCCAGTAGCTTGTACTCTTTGCGTCCAACTGTGTGAATGTGGTTGGAAGGGGACCCCCTAAGCCTGTTTGTCACAGTCCGGATACTTGGCTTTCGGGCGTGGCTGGTGGCGCAAGTGGCAAACGAGTCACGGCATCTTCAGAAAAATGGCCCCAGCTTCACCCAGTCGGAGCCCACAGTCACAGGAACACCTCATGTAACGCTTGGTCCTCCTTCTCCTCTCTGACTCCCTCCCTCCTGTGTCTCTTACTGACTACCTTGCGCCTCGACGGGGACATCGTTCCTACGTCGTCGTTTTCTTCATCCTCCTCCCACTTTGATTCATTATGATACGCCTTCTCCTCCTCCTCCTTACTTTCCTGCTTCTTTTCCTCCTGCTCCTCCACCCATCCATCTTCGTCCTCCACATCCTTCTTGTCCTCATCCTCCTTCCCTGTGGGCCCGGTGTACTCCTCCTCCTCCCCCTTTGTTTCTCTTCGTCGTCGTCTTCCTCATTCCTCCCTTCCCGCCCTGTATCCCCCCCTTCATACACCTTATTTCTTCGCGCATTCATCCGTCCCGCTCCCCCGCCTGCTGCAACGTCTGAACGATGTGGCCGTACCTGCGCCAGCCGAGATCCCACCATCCACCCCATGCCCCCGAGTCGAGGCTCTGCTTGTTGCGTGTGACCCCGAGGGTCTCGCCCCCTGGGCTCTGGGGGCCGCACTGGCTCGTTGTTCTTGTTCTTGTCCGTCTCATCAGTGTTGCTTGTCTTGCTTGCTCTTGTGCGCGGGGAGCGGCCAGCTAGTCTGGCGCGACGGATGCGGACGCGGTTGCGCTTATCGTTGGGGATTCCCCACCGCATCTCGCAGGCCACGCTGACGCGCGCGCACGTTGATGCACGTCGGTGTCTCGGGCGGGCACGGTATCTTGGCTACGTCGGCAACGGTCGACACGAGGATAGTAGCGATGTTGATGACGATGGCGACGACAAGGCTTATGACGGCGCCGAAGCTGATCACGCCGATGACGATGATGGTGCCCATGAGTCGGCGACGAAGGTTTTCGGAGGATTTCGACATGCGCACGGCCGACGGACGCGAGTGGCCCGCATAGCATTATTTGACGGGTCGTGCACCCCACACCCCCTTTTCGTCAAGCGCGCACGGATTTTCGATTGATTTCGACATGCGCGCGCGAGCGACATGCCTTATCGCATGTTATAGAATTTGTGGAAGCCGATGGCATTCCCAACAATTTGCAAGATCGCGCGCGTACTAGTTGTATTTTGCAAACCCACACTGCTAATCCAGTCTGCTGATATGCGATGGGGAAGCTCGCTCGCGGAATCCGTGCGAAACTTACAGTCTTTGAAATGCCTCGAGATGCTCGCGTGGCGCCGCGCGCGCGTAGACTTCGTTCCATTGTTTTCAAGGGGTCCTCAACAAAACTGGCAGTTTTGTTAAAACGAGTGGCAGGTGTGGAAGGCGAGAAGGCGATATAGGGGCTTGGCTGTGATGACATGGTTCAGATTTCAGATCAACGCTGGGGCAGACGCGTGTATGCATCGAACTCTTCCAGGGTAAGGATGGGATTGTTGGGTTGGTAAATCTGAATTCTTATTAGAAGGGGAACCTGTGTGGTGAAACTGACAGATGCTTACTTCGACTGACCGCGCAATCATTCGACCCACCCACCCGCAACTTAGTGTGAATAACCCACGCGGGAACGATTTTGATGACTGTTTGGCGCTGGCTGGCACATCGCCGCGGCCACGCTGGCGCGCGCAGGCTCGCGCGCAGAGCGGCCAGCTTGTCAGCCGCGACCGACGCGGCCACGGTGGCGCCCACCGCCGGGGGCTCCCTACCACATTTCGCAGGTCGCGCTGGCGCGTGGGCGCTTCAGAGTGCAAGTCGATGACTTGGGCGGGCGTGGTACAACGGCATACATACGATGATGATAATAGCGATGTTGATTTCGATGATGACGGTGCCGGTGACGACGGCAAGGCCAATGACGGTGCCGATGTTGATCACTCTGGTGAAGATGATGGTGTGCACGTGTTGGTTATGAAGGCTGTGGGGGGACGTTGACATTCGCGCGAGGCCGACGGGGGCGAGTGGCCCGCATGGTATCATTTGACAAGGATCGTCCCCCCCCGCACGCGTGCAAGGACGTTCGGAGTATTTTGATATGCGCGCGGGGGGGGCGCTTGGTTGCACGCGATCGGTTCATTGATGCAACATATGGCTGCCGTGAGAATTCACAGGAATGCGCGCGCAGTGATGTTTGTTCAAAAGGCAACGTTGCAAAACCAGCGTTTTTAATAATAGTCTCCGGAAACCTCGATTGACACTTGCGCGTTGGGTGTCATTGTTTGAAGCGTGCGCGTGTCGGCTTCGTCCTTGGTTGTGCAAGGGGTCGTTGAAATTTCCGGATGTGTTGTCAAGGCGCGTGCGCGCATAGCATGCATTATTGCAAAGGTTTTGCGGCCGATGCAGCCGACCCTGAACGACGACGACGACGGCACCGACGGCGGCGGCGGCGTTGAAGACGACGACGGCGACGACGATCACGACTGTCGGGTGCCCCCTCAAGGGTAGTTCGGGGTCCTCTTGGGAGACTCTTGGGGGCCTTTTGGGAGTCCCGTGGGGGGGTGGGGGGTTTCCTTAGGGTCTTTTGGGAGCCCCCTGGGGGCCTCTCAGGCCGAGGGGTCGGAATGTCCGTTCAGGTGTCCCTCTGGGTTCCCTTTTGGAGCCGTCTCGGAGGCTGAAGGGGGGCCTGGGGGGGATTGAAGGGGTTGATTTGCAATGTATAAGAACGCAATGTTTTGAATTTGTCCTTCCTCTACGTATCGTGGCTGGGCTTGGCGTCACACACCCGTCCTGTCGGACTGCCGAGACGCTTCGCTGCAGTCCCGACGTGGATTCCTCTCGCTTCGCGGATTGCACGTCCGGAGCACGTACAGTCACGTCGTCGCGGGGCCTCTTGGGAGCCTCTTGGGGGCCTTCTGGAGGCCTCATGGGAGCTTCTTTGGGGCCTTTCCCCCCCTCCTTTTCATACACCCTCCCCATTTTCCCTTCCAACGCCATCTCTCATCATGGGCGCCGCAGTGACCAACTTCCACCTGGGTGGCGCTGCGCCGCAGTTCGCCCAGAGGGGGGAAAATGACATTACACTCCAGTCGCTGTGTGTGCCTCTGTTTCGATTTTTTCAGTTGGTTTGCCGTGTCCAGAAAAGCCCTTCGGTTCCTTCTTTGGCTCGCCTACTGGTGTCGCCGCGGGGCGGGCTAAGTGGATAGGAGCTTCATCGTGGGTGCGCAACCACCCTCGCCACTTGGGGCAGTTGTAACCCACTCATAGGCCAGGTTGGGCCAGATAGCCTGGCATCCGCTTAGGACCGCCCTGTCCACTCGGCAACCCTCGCGGCGATCCAAGCAATGATAGCGTTGTGGAAGTCGGTTAACGGAGAGGAAGCATGCTGCCAAATCATTTCCAGATTTCTGAAACATGTTTCAAACATGTTTCAAACATGTGAACACATGCTAAAAACACGTTTAGAACAGTTTCCGACATTTTAAACACATTTTCAAATTCAATGACAGGACTGTTGGGGTGTCCATTGTCGTGGCATCCATAATGATACCGCCACGACTCGCCGGTCCCGATCGCGTGGCCTGGCCGGTCAGACTTTCTGCGGGTTCGGCGGGGTTGCCACGTCCTGCGCGCCCGCGCCGCCAGGCGCCGGGGCGGCCCCCCGCCTCGCCGTCCCCGGTCAGCGTCCTCGCCGCCACTGATGCTGACGTTTCCGACGATGACGCCGTCGTCGTCGTCGGCGTCGACGGCCGTCGGCGGCGAGGGCGACGACGAAGACGACGGCGTCGCCGCCGTCGCCGTCGTCCTCGCCGCGCCGCCGTCAACGCCTGCGCCGGCGTGGGGCCTCGCAGCCTTTCGCGGCGCAGGGGTCCTCGCATGCGGGGCATCGGTGTAGGTGGTCTTTCGCCCTCAACGGGGTCCAGCGGAAGCTGGCGGAAGCAAAACGATGGCAGTTGTGCCAGCGGGAGCCAGCGGGCTCAGTGCTGGTGTAGATTGGACCTTGGAATGTTCCAACGCTTCTGTGGAGTTTTTGTGATTTCCCTCAGCGTGTCAAGCAGATAACTCCCTAACTTCGCTCGCGGAGGAGAGGCAGAAGGATGAGGAGGAGCATGAGGAGAAGACGAAGGAGAGTAAAGGAGGAGGAGGAGGAGGAGGAGCGGGGAAAAAGAAGGCAATAAACAGGCGGGGAAGGGGCGTGCATCCGAGGCGGGGGGTGACGAGAAGAAGCGCAAATGGAACAACGACTGGACCGACAGCGAGTGGAGCGACTGGAAGGACAAGAAGCAGAAGGACCCAGCTCTGTTGCTGCTCCTCCCCTTTTCGCATCCTCATCCGCTTCCGCCTCGCTCCCTCCTGCGGTGTCAACATGGGGCCGCTGGCGTTTCCCGTCGCGCGTCGTATGACAGAGGCCACATCGGTCAGTTCCTCCACGTCGGCGCCCCATTGCTTTGCACATGTTGCTGTAGGTGCAGGCTTGCCACCAGCGTTCGGACCTCCAGGTCCGGCAGCAATCGGAACCCGAGCAGTACCCACATCCACTCCTTATAGCCAGACTCTCCAATGGCCCCTGGTTGGCCATTTGTCGCTTGTCCCTGCGCGCGGGAAGAAACGATCGTCGGCGGGGGCGGCGGCCTCGTCATGGTCGTCGTCGTCGTTGTCGTGGTCGACGTCGTCGTCGTTGTAGTCGTTTGTCGTCGTTGTCATCGTCGTGGTCGACGTCGTCGTCTGCGGCGGCGTGTCATACCGAAAGTGTTCTGGAGACCCTCGTCTTAGTATCCCTTGGTGTTGTGCCCTGGCCCCGTGTCCCTCCCGTGCGCTTCTTGTGCCCCCTCCTCCTCCTCCTCCTCCTCCTCCTCCTCATTGTCCTCCTCCCCCTCCTCCTCCTCCTCCTCCTCCCCATCCTCATTGTCCTCCTCCCCCTCCTCCTCCTCCTCCTCCTCCTCCTCCTCCTCCTCCTCCTCCTCCCCTCTCCTCCTCCCCCTCCTCCTCCTCCTCCTCCTCCGTAGCGATTTTGGCTCAAGCCATTTCCGGTCAAGACCTTTTGGACGCTGCACTTGGAAGTGGCGTTGTCGTCCAGAGCCTTCCAGCTCTCACCCAACCATGCGGCAGGTGAAGGCCTTCGGCAGTGGACGTGTGAATGGAAGTGCGGAGGATACCAGAACCGTTTATGGCGCACGAAGTGCCAGATGTGCGGCAAGACGGCGCCCGACACGATGCTTCATGCCATCAGCCAGGCTGCGAAGCAATCCGCGCCGCGGCCTCCCCCAAAGCCCCAAGGCAAGGTGGGACGCGGGCCGCCGTGGCATCAATCGTGGAAGAGCTGGTCATGGGACGCGGCTCCAGGGCCCTGCCGCGACCAGTCAAGGAGTGGCGAAGCGTCCTGGCTCGCCTATAGTCCTACCAAACAAAACAATGTTCCAAGAACCTTTTATGGTTCCCACGACATATTCTTAGAACATTTCTGGCTGGGACTGTCTTGGTTTAACGCATCGGGTTAATGTTCTAAGAACATTTTGGGTTCTAAGAACCTTTCGTGGTAAGACTAGGGATGCTAAGACGGTCGGTCCCTGCTCAAACCAGTTCAAGTCAGAGATCTTGGAGGAGCTCAAGTCCGAGGCGGCCCAGAAGGGGGTCGACGCCACGCAGATGCTGGCCCTCGTCGCCGACGACACGGACAAGGACGAGGAGGAGCCCGGGCCGGTTGACCTCAGCAAGAAGTCCTTGTATGACCTCCACCAGCGCCTCAGCAGGAAGCCTAAACAGGAGCAGGGCTCGGTCGCTCGGTCGAAAGGCTCACGGAGCGCGAGGCCGAACTCAAGAAAGCCCAAGAGGCCTATGAGCAGGAGGAGGCGACGCTGGCTCGCTATCGAGCCTCGCTCGAGGAGCTGCGCAACGTCATCAAGGAGAAGGAGCTCCTCGATACTGTCCCAGCCTGGGGTGAGAAGGGTGAGAAGAACGCCGGCTACATTGCCCAGGCGCTGGCCGTGGCGCAGAGGTTTCTGGGGCTAGTATCGGCGCTCCCTGGGGCAGAGGAGGCAGGCTTGCAGCAGTTCGCCAATTTCTGCAACCAAGCAGAAAGACCTCAAAGGACCAGGCCAACCAGCCGCTGCGGAACCCCTAGCAGGAGTGCTCCTGCTGATGCTGCTGCTGAGCGTGGTGCTAGGCCTGCAGATCCCGCAGCTGGGAAGCCGGGAGGGGTCCACGACATCGACATGGACGACCCTGAGCTGTCCGGACGCTTTGCTGGAGCAGGCCTGTTCGACCTCGATCCCAAGAACTCAGACCATCGGGATAAGCTCAAGCACATGCTGCAGGCCCTTCTCACGGATGCCAAGCGCCAGAAGCAAGGGTAGCGTCGACGACCTGACCATCGTCGCGGCGAGCACCTCCACATGGGCATGCGCTCAGGAGGACCTCTTGGTCTGGTGCCAGGAGGAGGGCCGGGAGGCCGACGTGGTGTGCCTGCAAGAGCAAAGCATCAAACACGAGCATCAGGTAGCCGGAGCACGGCGCTGGGTAGCGCATGCTGGGCTGCGGCTGGTAGCAGGCCTGGCCGACGTCACAGGGCCGGGCCCCCAGGAATCTAGCTCTGGTTGTGCCGTGTTATCCTCTGTGCCAGCCGGGGCCGACACTGGGCTGGCTAGCCAGTGCAAGCTGCTCGCGAGCAGGCTGCAGGAAGCCGTGATCAACACTGGGATGGGGTTACCGATCTATGTGTTCAGCCTTTACTTGGAGACGAGCGTTGGCCTTGGTGAGCCCAAACTCACGTATCTGGACGAGTTGATGGTGTTCTTGTCCTCTCTGAAGGGGCCCTGACTGGTAGCTGGGGACCTGCACAATGAGCCCAGTGATCTGCATGAGTGGGCCCGTCTCGCTGGAGGCGCGTTGGTGCGCTACTGGGAGGGTACGATCAGCGAAATTGAGATTGACGTTTTCGCGTGCTCCCAGGTGCTCTCGCAGTTTGTGCACTCGGTGACACATGACGAGGGGGCGTCTCTAGGCACGCATGTCCTTTTTCGTGTGGTCTAGAAGGGCATGCATGCGCGAGCCTATTTTACTTGAGCGTTGCAGCCATCGCCGTTCCCTACGACCCTCTGGCCTCCCACGCAGTCCGCCCCTGAGGTGAAAGAGGCTGCGGATTGGCCCTGGGCTATCGACACACCTCCTCAAGGCCAGTTGCTGGAGGCAGTGCGGTCGAGGTTCAGTATTGTCGAGGACTACATATTTGTGTAAGCTGCACGACGTTGGTGCAAAGTGGAGCGGTCGTGCACGTGGGCTAGCACCGAAACAGTACCTCTGGAACGAGTGGCAGCGACAGCTCCGAGCTCGTTCAAGCCTTGAGTTCAGGGCGTGGGCATCCTTGTACTCGGCGTGCCGGCGCGTTTATGATCTCGGCGAGGTGCGGCGTGAATGTTGTTATCGCCGCTATTCGGTGCTGTCCAGGTAGTTGAACGTCGTGTATCGGTTCGCTGACGGCGCCGAGGGCCTGGAAAAGAAGTGGTGGCCCTCTGAAGGTGTACTCGGGGGCGTGTCTCCAACGCGAGTGGCGGAATTGCTTGGGGCTGACACGTCCACGCAGGCGCGCGAGCTGATAGACGCCATCGCGGACCATGTGCGTTCGCTCCGACAGCGAGACTGGCAGCGCCTCGGGCAGGAATGGCGCGAGTGGGCGAAGCAGAATGTTTCCGAGACGTCGGGAAAAGTCGCGTTTGCCTTTGTGAAAGGTCAGGTGCAAGAGACGACGATTGAGAGCCTTGAGCTGTCCTGGGGCGAACCTCTGCCAGTAGCTGGGGACGCAGCTGCGACGGTACTCGTGGGAGAGTGGAGGTCGACGGTACTCGTGGGAGAGTGGGGGTCATTTTGGGCCCACACGCGTCGGCAGCATGATTCGGGCCCGCATTCATGGAATGATCCGGACTGCGATGCGGCAGTTCTGCCAGGTCTAGGCGCGGACGAGTTGGATGTCGCGTTGACCAAGTACTCGGATGACACTGGTCTCGGCGGGGGTCAGATGCATCCAAAACAGTTGCGCTGGCTGCCCGAAAACGACCGCCAGGCGTTCACCGACATCCTGCACCTCTGGGAGAGGTGCCCGTCGCCTTGCCAGCTCTGGCTGCTGCTCGTCGCACTCCTGCCGAAGCTCCCACCTGGCGGGGTGAGACCAATGATCTTGGCTAACCTATGGACTAGGATATGGTCCAGGCTGAGGCAGCCACTGGTGGCCCAGTGGGAGCAGGGCCTTGAGGGCAACTTTTGCTGGGGAGGCGCCGAACGAGCACGTGATCGTGCCGGGCACGTGCACAACCTCTTGGCAGCGTTCTGCACGCAACAGGAGGGCATGGCAGCAGGCGCGTCTGGCCTCGACTTGAGTAAGTGTTTTGAGTGCGTGTCTCACGAGGTCCTGCGCGAGGAGGCTCGGCATATACGCCTCCCCGTGCCGCTGCTGAAAAACTGAATGCCGTTCGCATCGTCTTCTCGACGAGATCGTTATGGAAGAGTGTTGGGAGTCGTCCTCCTCGCGAGCGGCACCGTGGAGGCTGGCTGCAGCTGCGCGCTGGGCCTTGCAAAATTAATGGTCCATGCGCTTCTGGTGCAGCAGGCGGAGTCTTTCCCACTGGTGAGGGCACAGTCGCTGGTGGGCGACTGCTTGCTGCAGGCGCTGGGCGCTAACCGATTGGTGGCTGAACAGTTGCCCAGCGCGTCGGCGCTGCTTGTTCGACGATTGCACGAGCGTCGGCTCCGCGTCAACTGGGGTAAGACGGGCTGGATGGCCAGCGATCCTGCTCGCCGCGCTTCTTCGTGACCAGTGGGACGATGAACTCCATCGGCACCGAGGTCTCCGTTCTTCGGGGGGGGGGCGACGGCGACGAGGGCGCCCGCCGCAGCGTCAGCGGGCAGGGCAGGCGCCTGGAGAAAGCGCACAGGGCAACAAGCCAGGTGCATAGGCTGCAAAAAGCAGGCGCCCCCGTAGCCAAGATTTTCTTGGGATCCCCATGTGCCGCAGCGGTGTAGGGGTCAGCTGTCGACGGACTGGCCGGCGGCAAGCTTCATTCTTTGTGCGCGAGTGCGTTGCGGGCCGAGTGGCGCCGTCCAGCCGGTGCCAGCGTCGACCTCCAGCTTCGCACCATGCATCGCGGCGCGTGGCGGGGCCTTCTTGTGGTCGACGCGGTAGGAGTTGTCAAGGCGTGGGCCTTTTGTCTGGAGACGGGCATTCCCTCGTGGGTGGTGCTGGGTTTGGTCCTCGGTGTTGGCCGCGAGATTTTGACTCTAAAGCAACCCTGGGCTCACTGCGCGAA